AATAATAATTTATGTTAAATATGTATGCTGAAATTTATGCATAAACTTCTTAGAGTAATATATAATATTGAGAGAAACAAAAGTTGCCTCCTTCAATATCCAAGCAAATAAGGAAAGGTGTCAAAGATTGCAATTTCAAAGCTAATATTAAAATTACCCCTAAAGGAGCAGAGCTCAAGTCTTTATTCTACTTGCCTTTAAAGTTCAGCTTATAATTTATAAATAATATAACTTTAAATTATTCACCTCTGTCAATTGTCATATCCCTTTTTTGAAATTTCCAAAATACCCCCAAACCTTTATTTCGACACATAATATAAATTACTGTTAAACTTGCTAAAATTTAGCTATATACTAAAAAGGAGTTGAATATAACCTTTTGATCCCCAAGTTTTGATCATGAAACCAGTGTGAAAAAAAAAAAAAAAAAAAAAAAAAAAAAAAAAAAAACGAAAATCCCTTCAACCTCCTCGCAGTAACCAGGGCACAGATCATGTTAATAGTGACTTCACAGAGGACCGTTCAATATTTCTATTTATTCTTAATGTTATGTAATTGTGATTTAAATTCAACTTCAATCAATGTGTGACTCTATGTCTCTAAATAGACCCTTGATCCGAAAGAGTTTCAAGACGATTAGAATGTTGGAATAGATTAGGACTGAGGAACACCTGTCGGTTGATTTTTGTAACTTAAATATAAATATTATTGTGTAAATCTTTTGATATTAGTGTATCAGTTTAGGACTATTTAAGAACATAAGATTAGTAATGTTCTTTAATCGTTTATGTTACAATGTTTAATAACACAAAACCCCAAACCACCTTTTGGTATTGACCTTGAAACAAGTGTACTAGAACCAAAAGCGCCATTACTCTTTCCAAACCAGCAAGGGCAAATTGGTAATTGATTACATTTTATGAAGATCAAGATTGATCCATGACCCAGTAAAGTTTTATTTTACCAAATGATTTGGCTGAAGATTATAATAAATTAGGGTCGAAGGGGCTTCAGTCAAAAACTCATAAATGTCTGAATTGAACTACCTAAAAAACTACTCTCAAGATTCAAGAATGCAACATAGAAGCAAGTCTACAGGAACAGCCCAACATCCCCTAACAAGGGCTAAATTGGTATTTCACGAGTGTTTCCAAATTCAAAATGTAAGGAAGACCCTGACCCACAAAATATTAAACAACTAAAAAACTATGATTGAAGGGACGATTAGAATACAGTAGGGTTGAGGGTTGCTTCAATTCAAATTCAAAAGTTGTTAATGGGAAGTTCCCAAACTACCACTAAGAAACAAGTATAAGAAAATGGCAAATATCAAAAACCCTTCAACCACCATGCAAAACCAAGGATAAAATTGGTATATTCTATCTTTAATGTTAAATTCACAACAAAAAAAAATCATCAAATCATAAAAGGTTAGCAGTTTAGACCATATTATAATGTTGTCAAAACTGCTAATTTTGTTGATCAAACAATGAAAGTTTCCGATGATTATACAAGTCATTTTGGAAAACTGCATCTAGAAAAAACAATGATTAGGAAGAAGACAATTAGGTTATATTAGGGTTGTGGGGTTTGCTTCAATCAAAATTCAAAAGGTGTAAATGCCAACCACCACAATTAATTTGTTAGCAAGGCAATTGTGTGTTGGTATGCACATAACTTCACTGCAAAAAAAGGGACCAAAGGCTCCATTAATGAAACAAACAGAAGTTGGTTAAATCACTTCATTTTGGCCTCTTGGGCATATCTTTGACTTAGTCAACCTACTCATAACTAAGTCTTAAACACAATATATGAAAAGATAAAGACTTTGTAGTATGGGAAAGACATTATAACTAATAATTATAACTAATAATTAAAAGTACATCATGTGATCAGAAATCCCTAAAACTTACTAAACATTCTGTTTTATATGTATTTTATAAATATATCGAAATGAAAGTTCAACATAACGACCTTCACTCATGTACAATGTTAATGCCATATTTTGTACGTTTAATCATTGGGGGAAAAAAAACCCAAGGGTGTATCATGAAAAAAGAATATTGTTGCATATAACTGTTTCGAAGATTCGACGGAGCATATGAACTTACATAAACATTTCATCGTTTTGAACAGATTCTCGCATTCATTTCGTTTGAAGGTATATGTAATTGAAGTACCTAAAATATCCTTTTACAGATTTACGTTATATAGAAAAAGATTCATACGTTCTTTTTCTTTTGCACAGTCGTATCAAATTATTCCTCCACTGGGATGCTAATTAGCAACATAATTACGTAAGAATCAAAGAGCCAATGCAATCACATTCAAACAATGAAAATCCAAAAAGTAACATTTTATTCATAGGGAGAGAAAGGGATAAAGTTAAGAAATCTTGATATAATTCAGATTAAGTTTATAATTTTTATTGAAATTACTCTAAAATACATAATTAGGGTTGTTAAGACAAAAAAGGAAGAAGATAATAATGAATTCTCCCTCTGAATAAACTTTTCTTTCGTAATACAAACAGCTTAACGGAATCAACATGTAGAAGAAGACCCATTTGTAGAAGCTTGGAGATGAACAGCACCGCCGCAACTGCCGGCACCACCACCGCCATCATCATTTTCTTGATCACTACTATTACTGTTATCACGTCCATCAACATTAATATCCTCCTCATGATCATGAGACTCACTAGTAACTACTAACCTACCATTATTATAGACATTAATGACACCGGCGGTGGATGCAAGAGTGGTGATGGGAGGGGCGGTGGTCGTCATAGAGGTTGTCTCTTTGTCCTTTCTTCCAATTGTGTTTTTGTTATTATGCATCCAGACTTTGAAAATTCCTCTTCTGATTCCAATCTCATTGCAGAAATCCGCTACCATTTTATCATCACATCGCTGCATCTTCCACCCCACTTTCTCTGCAAAAAGAGACATCTTTTCTTTCTGATCTTGGCTGAATTTCGTCCGGAATCTCTTTCTCCCATTTGGGTTTTCAATCCTGATAGCTGCCGGTGTCCCCGGCGTTACCACCGCGTGGGTTTGGTCAGCTGTGCCGAGTGACAGCAGTACGTGGGGTGCGAAAGCGTAATTTGTTGGTTGAGGTGGAGAAGAAGGGTGGTGGAACTCAATGAAGTGAGTTTTGTTGTCAGCGGTGGCGTACACCTCATTGATGCGCTCACGGCGGTGGAAATTGCGGTGGCAGCCACATGCAGCGCATTTTAGAGAGGTGGGCTCTTGTGGGTTCAGAGTTGGCGCCGGCATAAACTCACCGCAACCGTCTAAGGCGTGGCTGCCAATGGTGGCAGCATGGTTCTTAAGACATTCTTTGTAAGCCACCACCGTAGGCGGTGGTTGGTGGTGGTGCTTCTTTCCATTAGGAAAGGACGAAAATGGCTTGATCAGTTGGGAATGAAGTGGGGTTTCACCGTCGGTATCTGGGGTATCTGTGGCGGCGGCAGCGGACGTTGGGTTTTTTATGTCCATTTCTTGTTTCACAAAACACAATTTTTTTGAAAAACTGAAGATGTACATATGTAATGTGATATTTTATATGCTCAGATGAAAAGCACTTTGGATAAATAAAGGGGTCTTTGGGAATTAATTATGACACTTTTTCTCTCCCATATCATACCATACATATGCCGCCTAGATACTCGCTTTTAGAATTTATGTACATATGTAATGTGATATTTTTGAAACTTACGAGACGATAAAAATCGATAGTCCAATTCATTTTTTTTACATTAGTACTTTTGTAACATACAACCGATTCAAAAGTGGCACCATACATTAGAAGAAGTAAAAGTTTAATAAATTTGGATTGAAAAAAGAGTTTATTACATAAAATCCTTCATATTTTGTCTTATTTTTTGGATTTAAAACACTTTTTTGTTTTTTAAAATAAACCAAACTTTTACCTACTCTTTATTATTTCATTATTATTCTATCAGTGGTCACGTCGGAAAAAAAGATAGTCTCCAGTCACCTTGCCATCACCCATCTTCCACCTAATCACCACCACGTCCGTCACGCCCCTATAGGGGCCGTATTTACCTCTTCCGGTTTAAATTCTTGAAGAGAGATAGAGAGGATAATAAAAAAAGATAGATAGAAGAGTTGAATGAATGATCGTTGTGGTGTCCACGTCGACCGCCCTGGACACATCAACACCACGTGCATGGATGACTCCCCACTTCTGATAGCTTTCGCCTACCGGCACATAACCCTATTGTGTTTATTTTATTAATGACCCTATGTTTTGTTTTGTTTCTCTCTGTTTTGGACCTAACACATTTTGTTTTTTTAAATATACTCAACTTTTATCTATTTATTGTTATTTCATTTTGGGAGTCGGTTATAAACAGGTAACTTTATATCCCTTAACTCACGTGCGTCCTAAACATCAATCACCGAAAAGAAGAAGTGATTCTAAAACTCTAGGGATGAACAACACTTGCATTATCATTAATAAAGGAGGGCAACCTTAGTAATAGACAAACAGAAACTCAAGAAGAAGGTTCTCAATCCAACATGTTTCTAAAACCACGTTAGCAACACCCTTTGTCAAGTGACATATCTCCAACACCCTATTATCCGAACTCGACGTGTGTCGGGACAATCAACGTTAGTATATGTAGTGAGACGTGTGCAAGGAGTCTTATAGACTGTAAGACCATAATTAAGATGGCCTTAAATATAGTGTAGTACAAGTTTTAAAGCTACCATGTGGGATTCACAGTGCATACATAAGGAAGCATATATGTTAAACTTCATATGAGATATCTGGTTGAATGTTGGTGAGATTTTGAAGCGCTCTAACAAGGTTGCGATATAAAGTGTTTTGAGTAATGTTGCCCGTCATCAGTATTAACTTTTCCATTATATCGATGAGACTGGGAGTACGTTTTTCAGATGACATTATATCTCATTCTAGTACTTCCATATCATATTTCTTTTGGCATAAAAACAATCCACTTGCATGGCAGGAAACAATAACAGTGAGAAAATAGTTGATAGGTCCAAGATCCTTTATTGCAAATTCATGTGTAAGTTTAGCCATGATTTTGGTATGAAGGTGATATGTTAATTCTTATAACATACTTGTGTTAAGGGGACATAAGGTTATTTGTTGGTAACCGGGTCTATTAATAGAATAACAAATAATATGTCAAAGTTGGGTTTATTTGAAAAAAGGTTTATGGTCTAAATAGGAACAAAAGGAAAATTGTAACACCTCATTTGCGCCTACAATATAAACAACCAGTCACGAAAATAAACGCTTTTAATAGAAGACTATTTAGGATACATAGTCTTGACGAAAATCATAGTAATCGCAAAACCGAGAGCATGTATATAGAGAACATCCAAATTTGACTTCATAAGAGGAAGTTATGATTTTTAGAAGCTTCAGTGTAGCAGTGTACGACACAGAAACCGAAATGGAAATCGGTCGATTGTTAGCCGAAACAATCTAAACGAGAGTTGAAGATCTAGTAGACATAATTTCGTCGATATAAAGACAGTCGAGAACGGATATCGTATGAGAGAGTTATGATTTTTATACGGAATTTAACAGTTTAAGCCTATAAAAATATAACTTTAAAAATAAAGGACAATTAGCCGAAAGAGTCTGAATGAAAGTTGTAGATCCCGTCGATAGCTACACGTGCATATAAAGAACGTCTAAAACGGGGCTCGTATGAGAAAAGTATGAATTTATGAAGAAACTGAAAATCCACGCACGGATGAGCGTGCGTCGACAAGGCACGTGGTGCGCAAAGACAGCTTGAAGCGGTCCACCAGTTTTTGCCTCGTGTCACCCTCTAAATGAAGCCACGTCAACACCCCGAAAACATGCACGGCATAAATCTATGGTGTGCGACACGCCTCCCTACAATAAATAGATATCTCTGGTTCTCACTTTTTTCCTCACACTCTCTTCACTCCAAACTCTCTACAGACCACCCACCCTCGAGTCTGACCTTTATGGGTTTTTGGAGTACTAGCTCTGAGACAGTAAGTCGAGCAAATATAAGTGCTCGGTATCGAAGCCCTACCGGCGAGCTTCCCGGTTTTCGCGAGGATCTCTATAAGTTAAGCTACGCTTCAAGTGTAACTTATATTTATATCTATAGTCGTTGCTATGGATATGTAAATAAATTTATCAGTAATTCCAGCTATAATGTTGATTGATCTACTTACGAGAGAGGTGTCTAAAATGGTCACGTTGGCTTGGTTGTTGGATTTCTGAAATGCTATATACCAAAATGAACCTGCTTTCCAACTGTTCTGTTTGGTTGATCCTTATTTTATAGAAATCTCAGTATTAATTGGGAATACTGAAAGATCTAGCTTTCATTACCAGATCGGCATAGAGATTAATAAGTTACAGTATTACAGGTTAATACTTTTAGGCGTGTTACCCGTCAGTTGGATTGTCAGTAGGATCACCCAGATAATTGTCAATCGTCGGAGTAATTGTCTAGGTGAGTTATCTCACTATACTATGTATTACAATACATGTCCATGTATGCTAGTATAGAGAACTAGTACATTAGAGTTGATAGAATAGTCTCTATATGCTTAAGTGTAAAGTGGTAGAGTAGATAGTATAAATGTGTCTGTAGAATCTAAAGTGCGGTCTCTGTGTGCATAATTATTGTGATATTAGATGTAGATAGGGGATGATGGTGGAACGGTTAAAGAGGTCAGGAGCCTACAAGCCCGTGTAGATTTAGATAGGGATGATCGTGGAACGATTAAAGTGGTCGGGAGTCTACAAGCCCACGTAGATTTAGTTAGGGGGTGATGATGGAACGATTAAAGAGGTCGGGAGCCTAAAGGCCCACATAGATTTATTTAGGGGATGATGGTGGAACGGTTAAAGAGTTTGGGAGCCTATAAGCCCGCATAGTCTAAGATACACATTTTATTGGCAAATCGTGAGTTATTGTTTGTATGCATGTATATGTATTGTGGTATATGATATTTTAGGGAACTAACTAAGCTTTGTGCTTACACAATTGAATAAAACTATTTTTCAGGTACTTCAGTTGTAACGACCATAAAACTCGAACCAATTTAAAACATTTTATTTCATTTCAAAACCATTAAGTTCATACATCT